CACTCCTCTTAAAGTTGCCAAGGTTAGGAAACACTGCCCTATAGAAATGATGGTGCAGTCCCACACGGGCAATCATCATGATCTCCTCTGAACCACAAACCTGTTTGGATAATGGGGGGGTTGGAACATTTGCCCTATAGAAGCACTGATGGTAACAACAGTATGGGACTCTATAATACCCCTCCCATACAAGTGCTCACAGGCCAGTGGGGAAAAATGAATTTTTAGCCAATAATTCATCATCATCCTCCAGGCCATAACCTTGATTCTAGGCTTCCTGCCTCAAATCTGAGAGTAGCATTGACCACATCTCAGGGCAGTAAGAATAGCTCTCAGAAATTTAGTTTGCACCACTTCTATCTATTCTTTGTGGGAAAATATTTGAGGAATGGTTGCTGGTTGCTTCATTTGTTAAAATAAGGCAAACCCAGTGCAGTGACTTTCACTGAATCCCACTAGGAAGAATTCAAATATTTTTCTCCCTGTACTTGTGGCCTGGAGCTTTTCGGAAATAGCTGGGAATTCTGGGAGCTGCAGAGTCCAAACACTTATGGAGTGTACAGGTAGTCCTGACCATTCGTTTAATGATAGTCTGGAGTTACGAGGGCCTTGGGAAAAGTGCTTTATGACCCCCATGGTCACATGATTGCAATTTGCAATTTTTTTTACAATGGTTGTTAAGCAAATCACTGTGGTCATTAAGTGAATAATGTGGATGTTAAGCGAATTCTGGAAAAAAAGCATCCATTGGGAAGCTGGAATCACTTAACGACATGATTTGCTTAACAACTGTGGTGATTCGTTTAACGACTGTCGTAAAAAAGATTGTAAAATCAGCTCCAATTTGCTTAACAACCAGATTGCTTAGCAACCTAAATTCCAGTCCCTACTGCGGTCAGATAGTGAGGACTACCTATACCATGCAGGGGAAGGCTGGCCTCTGTATTTTCCTGCCCCACAGCTGCCCTCTCAGACTTGGAAAGATTTTAACTGCCACCTCGTCCTTCTTCTCATATCCTACAGAATGCTGTGAACATTCTGTGACATCACAGAAGCTCAGCCAATGAAGAGAGCTGGCAGGCAGCAAAGAGGCAGAGCAGCCAATGGAACGGCCTTACAAAGCCTTGAGATGTACCTAAAAACATAGGACAAAATGATGAGGGTCAGAGTAACCACGTGGTGAATGAGCATGACAACCGAGTCCTTGCGCCAGGCATCCATGTACAGAGTGGCGTAGATAGAATGGCAATAAAAACTGCCTTGCATTAGGTAGGCGACTGCAATGTCCATCGGCACCTCTATCCCCTTTTTCCAATCTGGAAAACCATGCAGGAGAAAAAGAAGAAAACGTGAGCTCAACACAACCGCAGCATCCCAGATGCTCAGAATTACAAAACAAGAGACCGAGAAGCTGAGCCCTGCAGGCTATTGTTAGACAGCTAAGCCCACCTTCAGGCAACTGCTTTGATTAGGACCAAACAAAATTTTGCAAAAGCTTTTGCACTGTCAAGCCAGATAATGCCAAAAGCAGAAGGGCTGCTGAGGGGGCGGGGGAAGAAAGCTGGGTCCAGTGTTATGGTCACAAGGTCTGCAGTTTGAGATCCAGTGACAGGAGAGATGGAAGTTCCAGGAATTCAGTTATATCTAGGATTCTGGGGGAAAAAATCAATTGATCTCCATTTCTGAAAACATAAACTCCAGCACAAACAGCCAGCAAAGGTCATCCCACTGGAAATCTAACATATCTGGAAGGTGCCAGGCGAGGAAGGTGGCTCACATAAAAATCTTATTGCAATGGGCATAATTGTCTGCTATTAACTCTTCTTGTCAGCTCTTCAATAAAAGAATGGAATTGCCAACTCTGTAAAATGTATCCACGTATTTATCTAATTTTCATTGCTGCAAATCAGGCAGACGAGTGATGGTGAACCTTTTGGGCTCGGCGTATCAAAAATTTGGAAAATGTCTAACTTGATTCTGCTGGCATGTCACCCCCCCTGAAAAGAGAAACAATTCTTTATATATTCATTTATTTAAAAAAAATACAGTCCAGTCATGCATGGTGCTGTATTATATAAAGAAAGGTGCTATTATTATATAAAGAAACGCCAAATTAATTAATGAAATATGAATAAAATAAATTCAGTTTTTTTGGTAACTCAAACAGGGAGAATAGTTGTTGTCGGGTGTTGGTAAACGCTGGTGTGTCACCCAAAATGTCGTGGCGTGTCCCCTTTGACACCCGTGTCATAGGTTCGCCATCACTGAGCTGGGCCCTTGGCAGTTTACAATTAATATGAGACTGTTGATTTTGAAAGAAATCAGGCACCCTATCCAGGCAAAACTTCACTTTAAAAATGCTTGACCCCAGGAAACTAAATTTCAAACCTCTTACAATTTTGTTTCTGCTTCCAAGAACCCCTTGCTACAAAGGCTCTAAAACTAAGGAGCCCCCCTGAACAGTGGGAACTGTTTGCTGGGGACCCTCTCTCCCCCAACGGAGGCCTTAAGGATGTCAGATGAAACAAGCAAGGTTTTTCGGGCTACGTGTCTGTTCTCTTTCCAGATTCCTGGGGCACAATTACGCGAGTGTTCCTCTAAATTGCAGAGACAGCCTTAGGCTCACCTACCAAAGTGTAAATGATCCAACATCAAATGTTCCTTAAACAGAAGCTCCCCCCTCCCCAATATGGCCACAATGCTTACCATACCATAAAAGACAGAAGGTGGGTCATGGAAAAAGGGGTATCCAGCAAAGAAGAGCAAGTAAGTGCCGTACGACCAGGAGATGCTGTAGAAAGTCAACTTCCAGGCACTTTCAGGCATCTTAGCAGCATCCTTGGGGGGTAACTGACACCACTCAGCGATAGGCTACAAGAGAAGAAAGATCGGTGGGACCAGAGCAGATCTTGCAATCCCTGATCTTCCCCTCTTCATTGACCACGGGGGGGCTTCCATTTGCTCTCACCTGAGCATTTCCTGTTGATATATTGTAATAATAGCAATAATAATAAGGGGAAGACTCGTTCCAATAGAAGAGAATCTATGCGGCTTTAGGCTAAACTGGGAAGTCAGAAAAAAACCACCAGGAATGGTGCAACAGCAAAGCACTTTGTACTTTTGCCAAGGAAACAACACCGATGCTCCCATAGAGCCACCAGGAATATTTGCCTTCTTTTTTAAAAAAAACCCAATGCAGTAAAATCAGCATGTCTTACCTTGCACATGCGGAAGCTTTTTTTTTTTTGCTATCATATAATTTTATAGCTCATTATTCTGTCTGCACTAGCAAAAAAGAAAAAAGAAATCCACACGCCCAAGGTGAGACATGCTGATTTTATCGCATTTACTACTGCATTACCTCCATGTTCTTCCAAAAGCTTCTCTTGAAGCTGAGGATTAGAGCAGGCTCCAAAAGGTGGAGAGGATGGCCCCAAACGGTGACTTTTAGACAATGTTTTCACTGGATGCACTTCACGTAAACCCAGACAGCTAACTGCAGTGCAAAAGTACAGTGATCTTACACTTACAAGAACGGTATACTGATTAGCACTATACAGAAGGTCTCCATACCAGAACCCTTCCTTTCCAGAGTATTTTCTTTATTTTAAATAAGCCACCCATCTCTCCAATTTAGCTACTTTCCATGTTTTATTTAATTAGTGAACTGGTTTTGTGGCAGCCGCCAGGCAACGTTCTTGACTTGGTTGCTAATAAAAGCCCTACCCCTCTATTTTATGCGTTATGCCAAGTCTGCAGAATTAAATTAGCATACCAGCTTGAAACATTAGATAGGTGAGAATACATAAAGACATTTGTTGCGGGAAGCCACTAGAGCCTCGAAGTGCCTCTGAAATTGGCCGGAGCCAATTGTCCAGAATGCTGGAATTGGACTAAGAGGTTCAAAGGCAGGCTTTGGCACAAAGCTCACCGTGGAACTAATTACGCTAAAGTATTTTTGGAGCAGGAGGGCTGCAAACGGTGATTTACTTTGTTCTGACGGCTTCTGTGGCACCATGACTGCTGTAGAAGAGGCGCCGCGGCGAACTGCTGAAATCACACAAAATCTGGCAATCTCAAAAAGATTTGGGGCAATTTGGCTTGTTTGCCCCAGGTTGCAAAAACTGCCAACCTTGGAAAAACGCATTCACTCTCATCGATGTTAGAAAAGCTATCTATCGCTTTAAAGAAACCTCTTCCTCCAGTTTGACATTAGAGAACCTTTCATTGAATTGCAATGTTGTGTATCAGTGTAATACAACCACTGGGTGGGATACACATGTGGGTGGGCACGTGCTTGCATGCACACATGCACCCCAATTTCTTCTTCTTTTGCTTTACCTCCCCTTTTAAACAGATAGATTAAAAGTCAGGAGCAAAGTCTGATTGATCGTACAGTTCCAATCCTGTTTACAGAGTCCAGTGCTTGACAGGACTCCTGGACTCTTTTTCCCTGCCAAATGTCACCCCTTTTTCAACGCACATTATCTCAGCATATTGGATGAACAACCACACCATCTTTACCTGCATAAGGAAGACAAGCATTTGGGGTTTATTTCTACCCCTCCTCTGCCCTCCCTCCAGCTCGCCCCAAGAAGTCCTCCCTTCTTGTCAACTCACCTCCTGAAACAAAATGAAAATGTTTACAGGGCTGGTAGCTGAGAGTGAAACTTGAGCAGCAGGAGATTTTAAAAAAGCAGCCCAATGACTTCTCCGCCTGCCCCCCCCTTGCAAGGCTATATTAAGATCCCAGCTGCTAAGCACAGGAGTGACCACGACCCCTGCACAGCCGGGTTCATGGCAGCTCTCCATTAGCTCATTCAGGTTTTGCTGGCATGTCCAGTGTCTGCCACGGATCTACACCAGAAGAACAGCTCCTGTGCTACAAGAACTTAGCTGAAGAGCATATGGTAAGGACAGCATACCTACCAAACAAGGAGGATACCTGGGTGTCTCTGTATGAGTTACCACTCTTGGTCGGACAAAGGGAGTAATTTATTCTCTTTCCAAAGGGATCTAAGAACTGCAGCTCCATCTTATGCAAAGATGGGCCAGATGGATCCATTCCTACAAGACGCATTGCTGTCTCTCTGAATGAGTCACTGTTCTGCAGGGGGGCCTCTGAACGAGTCAGTTCTGCAGGGGTGCCTCATCCTCCAACAAGCGCAATGTAATGATCAAAATGACCCGTGCAAGCAGTGAGAGCTAATTTCAAATCCTTGCTCAGCTCTGAATTTCACTAGGGACTTTGCACGAGTAATTTGCACATTTTCCTTGCAGAATTTACTCTGAGGGAGGGGTGCGTGTTGGAAAAACTCACTGAAGAAGGCACCAAGAGGACTCAGCAAGTGTTTTGGCAAGTCACAGCGAGTCAGCGGTCTTCTGTTTTCAGGAGCAAAGGGCACCAGTGACTTTTCAACGAAGTTCTCAGCTACACAGACCAAAGATCAGCACACGTGTGCATGTGATCATTGGCAAAGAATTGTTTTACACCTGATAAGGAGTTGTAAGAATCTTGCGCTCCTATGTCTGGAAAAGAACATTGTGTAATGCTAGGTACTCAGACTTTTAAGTGTGAATGCCAATCCAGCTGATTGTAATTCTAACCATTTGACTCTGGATCCCGTTTTGAACAGAGAGAGTTGTAAACACACCAATTATCAGCATCCTGGAAAATGTTATGGATTACGGAGAGACACCATTTGTGAATCAAAGGCCATTCATTTACTTTCTTACGTTACAACACCAGGAGATACGTCATGGGGAAAGATGGTTTAAGCAATTTAAGCTACTGTGGCTGGATACATTGATTTTTACATTAAACAGACAAGCAAAGGAACAGATATTCAGGGGCCTTTAATGACCTAGTTATAAGCATCTAGGAAAATTAAATCCCCCCCCCCAAGGCATCAAAGGCTTCTTTAGTAAAGCAAGCACGGTAGGACTTGTGGACATTGTAGGAGGACAGTTGTGTTAGTCACTAACAGTTAGTGTATAGTGACAAACTAACTACATTAACAGTTAGTGTATAGTGACAAAAATCAGGAGTCTGGTAGCATCTTTTCCAAGTAACAAATTTTATTAAAAGGCATCAGCTTTCGTGAGCTGCAGGTCACTTCATCAGTTACATAAAGTGGCTAGCCCAGTGTTTCTCAACCTTGGCAGCTTGAAGAAGTGTGGACTTGGGTGGCTGGGGAATTCTGGGAGTTGAAGTCC